CTCTTCGAGACATGTGGAGGCCACAAAAAACTAAAAAGAAGGAACGTAGAATACGGAATATCATTTCTTCTTCAACACGTGTGAAACTTCGCATATTGATAAGAATGATAAAGTACATTTTACTGTTAAAAAACGATATCATTTAATAAAAGAAACCATTTACAATAATGAAGAGTTATTTATTGTGTATTATTTTATTCTTATTTTTATTAATTTGTTCGATTTCTTCAGAATGGATAACAATCAATGATTATTCTGTAACAACATGGGATGAATATACTGCAGATTGTCCACAGACATTAACTACATTTAAAGTCAGTAATTACCCACGAAAATATGTCAGGTCATTAAATAACCGAATAAATACTTATACGTATGATAAAAATAATGAAATTATTTATTTTATAATGGACCAAACACTTTATGGAATTTCGAAATTTTTTAAATATAATTTAAAAACTAATCAAATTGATCAAACAGAACAAATTCAACCTTTTATGATCGACCATATACAATTTAATCCAATAAGTAATCGATTATATGCAATTATTCATGATTCAACTCGACGAAATTATTATTTAGTAGAAGTTGATATAGAAACATTACAAATAAAAAAACAAATCATGCCACTTTCTGATCGTATTTCACCAATGTCTGGAAGTTATTTTAATTCTCAAACACAATTATTTACTTATCATGCTTATGATTTTCAACAAGGTCACACTGTATTGATTACATTGGATTTATCAGATAGTGCAACAAAAATACTTGTTGGATCAAAAGAATTTGATTTCAATGTTTATGGTTTTGGTTATATTCAACCAGATAGTTTAGTTGCATTATGGCAATATAGTATTATAACACCAATGGTTGTGATCAAAATAGATGAACCAACGGGACAACAAATCAAAAATGTAACTATAACACCTGATGGTGTTAGAATTGCTCAAGGTTATAAACCATTTTCCATGGATTTTCAAAATAAATTATTTTATGTTTTGTCATCGACAGAAGATTTATCAACAAGATATATTTCAAAAATTAATATGGAAACAATGAATGTTCAAATAACAGCAGTTAAAGGACACATTATTAAAGATTATATTTTTTATAAACGAGAATAATCTCCAAACGAAATATTCTTCTTTATTTAAAAATAAAAAAAGAATCTGTTTGATTCAATATATCATAAGGAATTTATTCATTGGATTAAAGTCTATTTATAAACTATATTAATTTAAACACATAACAATATTATTTTCATCTGTCTGATAATAAGAATATTGTTATGAAAAATCAAATTCACCACAAAATTCTATATAATTTTTTTAATTGATGAAAACTAGCGTATACTTATCGAAACAAGCAGATGAAGACGAATAACATTTTTTTTTATTTGTTCCTGTTTCAAGAAGAAACAAAACAAAAGCCAAAGAAATATAATCAATAGCAACCTAAGTAAATCCTAAAAAGCCAACGAATGGGTACGACGAGTGGTCGAAACTTGAATATATATTTTTTTTTCTCGTTCTGTTTAAATTTCGGGCCCCTCGATGGCTATCGAATGTCGAGCCGTCGGAAAAATTTTGGAGGGTGTGGGCGTGGATCATTGTTAAAGAAAAGATTCACACTCACACCCGCACACCCACACTCCACACACCTACACCTACACCTACACCCACACCCCACACTCATACCCCTCTTCAAGATAATCCACACCTAAATGTACATTTTGTAATAAAAACAATTCTCTCAATGTAGTTGTTCGTTGAAGATAATACTATCCAAGGATTTCCTGCTCTTGTTCTATAGATACAACAAAATAAATCAATATTTTTCTTTTTTGTTAATGCTTCAGAGTGCTGATGTGAATTAGAACGAATGCAAGATGCATGATCTTCACACCATAGATAAGTAGTTTTAGTAGTACTTCATTGAAATTGACTATTGATGTAGAGATGTTTAAATAGAGACATTATTCATTCTGTATACAAATGTATATTCCAGCATTAAATTGTGGACAACATTAAGCAAAGAAAGTAGGGTCGACTGGATCATTTGAAATCATATCAAATTTTATTTAAAACAAACAAGATTATTCCAATGAGAGCAAGATTGAGTATGCAACTAACATGCTGAAATGACAGAGTACTCCAAACATCATCATAAGAACTCAAATTTGATTATCTTCAACGTGTTTCATCTAAATGAATGAATTTCTTTTTTTTGTTCGTTCTACAGAAGATTTGCATATTTTTGTTCATAAAGATAAATCTCATAAATACTACTCAAATAATATCTTTGATCTTGATACAAAAATTCAAACGTTTAATAATTTGCAAAAGACAACATTTATGCACAGTCAGACAAAAAAGTCTATTATATTAAACCTTATCGATATGATATGACATTTCGAGCTTTTGTACACATACTGAATTGTCGATGGAATCGTTTTCGAAGTCTATGATGTCATATAGATTTGATGAAACATCGTTTTTTTATCATGTTCTGTGAAACGTTTTTGAGAAATGTAGAGAACTGAAATTTTTTTAAACTGAAGCTATGGATAATATTTTTAATGAAATCTGTAAGCTTTATTTTTATGAACAACACTCGAAGTTTTGTTCTATCATAGTAACATGCGTAGCTAAAGAGAAGAGAATCGAGTCACTCGTATGAAAATTGCAAAATATGAAAAAGTCTTTTTTTTTTGTTTTTATTGAAAATATGTTCATAGAAATTTTTATACTCAAACTTTTTTTCTTCTGTAATACTGGTTTTATCAACACAAATAAACAATGAGTCGACAAAATGAAGACAATCTTCTTTTTTTTCGATATACAGTTTTCTTCTATGTTGAAACAATTGTGATTTGTGATCGAGTATATGAGTGTGAGTATGGCCTGTGTCTTCTCTTCACATATGAGTCTACGTTATCCACGCTCACATCCTCGTGTCAACAGAGATAATCGATAAGAAACTTGCATAAAGCAAATTTATTTCAATTATTTAAGATTGATTCGATTTTCATTACTCGATAAGTCAAACAGCTGCTAAAATAAAATTTGTTGCAGACTTGAACGTGACAATATACTACATCTGGATTTTATCATAAACTATTAGTGTATGATTCGCTGATCTTATTGCGTCGTGATTTCAGCTAAACATATGTATAAGACATTAATCTTTTCAATCTGTTGACAAACAACAGAAAAATTGCAAATGGTACTACAAAGTACAAGTACCAATGCTTATTGTAGGTAAATATAGTTTTCTGTTGAATGAAAGGTATATCGGACAATTGTATATGAACATTTTGTAGCCCTGTACAATGAGTCTACTGAGTATTGATTCATTTCAAATTTCATAGGAATTTTAATAGAAATACTTGAATATTGTCAAAAAGTACTGGTCCTAGCTCTGTCGTGACCAAACTGGATCGAAATATTTAAGTTTCATTGTTTCATCTTCAAAGAAGAGAAGGATAAGAAGTGAATATTTAGAAAAAAAAAACATTTAATTAGGAGAGAACAAGCTGATTGCAATCAAAGAAATCTTGACAATCAAAATTTCAGCTTTTTCTTTCTTGCATTTAATTAAAGTAAAAAGTTAATTATAATACATTTTCACATGAAAAGTAATTGCAAAGACCACGAATAGATTCGAATGATGTATTCAAAATGTGTTGCACTACTGTTAGATTAAATGTACTCTGACAAGAACTTCTTGACATGATCGAGTATGGTACCTTGAATCGGCAAGTGTCACATATAACGCATATTTTTAATTAGTATAACGTTTATTTTTCGTTCATAGACACAAAATAACTAAAGAGACTCCCTTTTGAAACTTTTTCGAAAACGACTAGTCCGTCAATGCTTCCTTCTCAAAGATGTTTGATATGAAATTTTAAAGCCTAGCTGGCCGCACCATATAAAAAAATTCATGTTTTTTATTTTAATAATCAAATTCAAGAAAAAACATGTAGAAAATTGCATTTATTGATTTTTCTTTGAATGTACATAATAGATAGAGAGTATTGCAATGAACTTACCAAATAAAAAAGAATAAAAATGTTTAAATTTTAGACATTTCTGATATATCTTACTTTTGTAACAGAGATCTGCTTTATGTCTAGTATTAAAAAGGAGATAGTTTTTAATATGTAAACCGTTCTCCATACATTACTACTAATCAAATCATTCATATTCATAGAATAGATCCGTAAAATTTTTTTATCTTGTAAGTTAACAAATCTCACTACATTACTTTTTGGTGTACAGTAGTAAAAAAAAATATACGCTTGCAATATATACATGTAAAAAAAAAGTTATATCAGTGGTTTATAATTGCATTCTCTCCTTCCCTTTATTTACTCTCTTTGCAGATATTCTATCGATTTTGCTTGTGTTATTTACCACCGTTCTCGACATTTTTACACGATACATTTGGTAACCCAACACGGTTTTTTTTCATTGCTTGTGTACGACACAGGTAAGTAATCGAATATGATAATAATCATTAACGAAGACTCACATGGTAAAAGACAAACATATTGAAATAAGTTAACTCATAACATTTTCTAATATTCATATTATGTCTAATACAATAAAAAAAAGCAACCATGAAATTTGATTCTTATAGATTCATTGACCTAAAATATGTTGGTTTTCTCGAACTTCATTCAGTCAAGTACTTCAGAGAGATTTCCACATAGTATTGATTCTTGTCAGCATGACTTCGTCAACTCACTAATGAAAAATTGGCATAACTGAAGCATTGAAAAAGGAAAGGCACAAGTAAAAACTTCAACAACAGAGGGTGTAGGTGTGAATCTACTTTGTACCCACACCTACACTCACACACCCACCCACGCCGTAGTTTACATCAATATTACTCACGATTTCTACAGTTCGATGTTTTTTGATTATTGTTAAACTTTTTAGTAGGGAATTTATAATTTCGTCTTGAATCAATAGTTTTGTGTCGTCGACCGCCCTGAATTTAGTCAGGACAGACTCTTGATATTGACCATTTTCAATATTTATTTTCATTGCGGTACGAACTAATCTGTAATATGAATACCAAAAACAGTCATGTGAAAATGTCGTGATTTTCTCTCTCAATTTTATTCTACAGTCACTCATACTGTGTGGGTTCACGTCAAGGTGAGGCAAGTATAATTGGTTGGAAAGAATCGAACAAAGTCCGTAGGAGGAAGAGTGTACTATGTGTCGTTTTTTCTGCATCATACTTGTCTAGGAAGATCATAAACATGTGTATGCATGACATCATGTCCATGATGATTGCACAAAGTTTTCATTCTCGTCGGGAAAAAGGAAAAAAAATCGGAATAGTACATTTTTTCGTGTAGGATATAATTATCATTACTCATGTAATCAAATTACCGTCAAAAGTCATGCGTCTCATCACTTCCGCTTTGATTCATGTTGCTTGACAAAACCTGACGTAAAAGCGGTAGTGGATCAATGTCGTCATTGCTCTTCTATCGAAAAAAATTGATATATATATAAAGAGCGATAATAAACTGTTTATGTATCAACTTGATAAATAAAAATACTTCTATCGCAATAACAATGGAAGAACATAGTTCATTGAACGGTAATTTTAAATATGTCCGCATGCACAGTGCGACATCGATCAATGAAATTCTCGAAGTTAATGATATTCAACGTCTCGATCATCTTGCTCGTATGTTTGCCAAATACCAGATGACAGGTAAACGATATGAAACAAAAGCTTGGCATGCTTATTTTCGACGTATTGCTGCAAATCCTATTATATTCTATCAGAATAATGCTGCTCTCTTCTACGAAGATAATCAATATGAGAGTGAAAATTTTGAAGTAACCGATCCGACTCTTATTCATGGTGATTTGCATATCGGTCAATTTCATTACTATCTCAATGATATAAGTGGTGAACCTGTATTCAGTGTACGACAACACAAAAAGAAATTAGCTCCATTTACATGGGATCTCAAACGTTTAGCTGCCAATCTTGCACTTATTGCTTATTGTCAATGTTTTAGTGATAATGAAATAAGTGAAATACTTGAAGTCTTTGCTCAACAGTATATCAGAAGTGTTTTATTACCATACAAAAACATGTTAACACAGAAGAGCAGTCATGATATAAAACAATCTCATCATTTGAAACCACCTCCACTTCAAAAACAATGTTCAATCATTGGATCATTGAAAGTTGAACATAGGATGCATGAAATCGATTGGCAATCGATTGATAGTGTTAAGAGTCTGATGATACTTGCCGAACAATTGGCTATCACTACAGCTCATCTACATTGTCAACCGCCAATTACCGTATGTTCGATGCCAGATGTGCCAAATTTAATGATAGAAAATAATGCCGATTGTTGTACTCGGGCAATACAAACATCACTCAATTCTTACGTCAAGCAACGACAATTGATCGACGAAATTCGTCTTTTTGCAATAATGTATGCCGAAATTGCTGAAAGGGATTTTCAAATTTTCTTCAAAAATTTTCGTAATGAAAGAATATTCAAAGGTCCTGATACTCTAATGAATACTCAAATACAACATCCATTAGCGAATGCTCGTCGAGTAGCTATATTAATTATAGGTGGTGGTATTGGTGGTATGGCAACAGCTCTTAGTTTTGCTCGAGCTGGAATACGAGTAAGATTATTAGAGAAAAATACGGAATTAGGTGAAGTCGGTGCTGGTATGCAGTTAGCACCGAATTGTAGTCGTCTACTTGATCGGCTTGGAATCTTACAACAAGTGCAAGCTAACGCTGTTTTTCCGAAACAAATTGTATGGATGGATGCTCTATCTGGTGAACGTCTTACTTGTATTGATTTGGGTAAAAAATTTGTTAAAAAATTTGGCTATCCATATATAGTTGTACATCGAGCTGATCTTTTTCAAGCTCTTCATCAAGCATGTTTGGAAAGTTCTATGGTAACAATGGAAACAAATCGTACGGTAACGAGTGTCGATGAACGACCAAAATCGATAATGGTCGAATGTGCAGATGGAATGCGTTACGATTGTGATATGGTCGTTGCAGCTGATGGTCTTTGGTCATCTTTACGAAAATTTGTTTGTGATGATGGACCACCAATTAGTGTTGGATATGTTACGTATCGAGGCACTGTTAAAATCGATCAAGTCTCAAAAGAAGCTGGTCTTGAAAATGTTCAGTTTTGGATTGGACCTAATATGCATTTAGTACAATATCCAATTCGACGAGGTGAACTATTCAATCAGGCAGCTGTATTCAAATCAAAGCGATTGCCCGATGATACAGATCGATGGGGAACCAAAGAAGAACTCAATGAGACATTTAGTGTCGGATGTGAACATGTGAAGAATACTCTTGAACTACTTCAGACCAACTTTCGATGGCCAGTTTATGAGTTAGTTATCTTTTCATTCTTTCTCTCATTCATATGTCTATTATCATATTTCTTTCTAGTCGAAATCCATTATCAAAATGGAGTCGTGGTCGATTAGTATTGTTGGGTGATGCAGCTCATCCGATGTTACAATATGCTGCACAAGGTGCTGCGCAAGCATTGGAAGATGCTTGGGCACTTACTGCTGCCTACAAGAAACATGGTCCATCGAAGATTGATGCTATATTTCGTGAATATGAACAAGAAAGAATACCTCGGTCATCAAAAGTTGTGCAATTTGCACGTGACATTGGTACATATGCACATCAAAACGGCATGGAGAAGATGGCACGTGATGCAACACTGCGTATGCATGACATGAACGACTTTCACTTCCTCAAGTGGTTATATGCAGAAAACCAGAATGAGGACGACTCAGAACGAAAAATAAGAATTAATCTGGACACACCCGTAAATGGCCGTATACTTTCCATATTTTCCCGTATACAATCGTATTTTGGCTATTTACAAGGCTTAGTATCACGATACCGTATATGGTCGCCTGTTTACTTCGCATTGATCCTTATACGATCATGCTTCTCCATATACAGTCATGGAGATATATGATTGAAATACTGAGTCATGCAAAACATCGTATTTCTCCGTTCACGGTCAATTACGAGCCTGTCTATTCGATCTTAGAAATGCAACGCTGTTATTTATTTTATTACGTGATGTATACGCCTTTCCATCCACTTGTAGATCTAATTTGAGTTGTCACCCTAGACGATGTACTGGTAACAAGTACTAAATAAGTAATTACTTAAAGAGATTTCTTAATTCTTCGCAGAATTACTTAACTCAGAGCTGTTTAAAAGCTCGTTACCATAAAGAGAACATAGTTCTCTATTTAAATCTACAAAAATGTTAGGAGAGGAAGGCATACACTGTCTTCTTTCTCGTCTATATATAATATCTTTTCGCTTTCTTCTCTTCGTTGAGTCGTCCTCTTTTCCTGCAGACCGTTAGTTGTTAATATCCTTTCCTTCCTGCTAAGTGACATTACTGACTTAGTGCTTGTTCAAGTGTTTACCTTCAAGTACATCGACTAGGAATATGCTTCGCGTTTTTAAAATTACGATTCTCTATTAGTTATGGAATGCATTTGATCAAATAAAATTGTTAATACGTATCATAAGAGGAGCCTTCTTTTTTTTGTTGAATGTTAGTTTTGTTTTATGTAATATTTGAGTATATTTATTTATATAATGATTTCAAAGAATAAGAAAAGTGTGTTGTATGTTCAAATAAACGGATCAAAATGACTGGATAAAGCTCAATAATAATAGAACCTCCTGCAATTATAGCCTGCTCTAAGGTATTATGATCTAGAGAACCATAAATAAGGACATTGAAAAGAATTTTACAGAGGACTAAAATTCCATTTATTTCTATATCCTTCATGCGTCTTATCCAGGTGAATGAATCTGATAATGGATCCTATTTTCTTATTTGAGTACGAATTATCATTTTATCCCAGTAGTAGAGGCGACTCCGGTCATACGATGAGATTCAATCGGATTCTGATCAGATCCAACACTAAGGATCCAGATGCCGGATTGTTTCCGGGAATCCGATAAGATTTCGGGGTGGGTGTGGGTGTGCGTATGGGTGTGGGGTGGGTGTGGATGCGGTTGTGGGTGTGGATGTGGATGTGGATGCAGGGGTGGGTGTGAAATGTAGGTGTGGATGTGGGTGTGCGGTGTGCTGGTATGGGTGTGTGTGGGAGTGGTATGTGAGTGTGGATGAATTGTGGCTACGATTCATGTATCTACAACACCTAGACCCACACCCACACTCACACCCACATTCATGTGCATGTTCATAAATTAATATGCATTTAATTTATTTAGCTGATTGATAAAACTGAGTTTTGATCTAGACACCTAATCTTCCCTTAATATTATATATATATTCTCATCATAGAATGATCCGATAGAATCGCATTGATCAATGGCGATTCGTTCTATATTTATTTGGGACACCTCATCAGGATCCGAACTTTTTTCCAGGTCCTTCAAGTATCAATGCTTGAAAGACTTTTCTTAACGTTATTTGAGTACTTTATCGATACGCTTCACAAACAAGATCTAAAGAGAATAAAATAAAAAGATGTGTCAAATATTGTTGCTAGACTCGAACCAACAAAAAAATCCAGATAAATTAATCGGTTGACAATCATATTATTATAAGTTTTAAAGGCTTTTTTCGGTTTCAAATAACGCTAAAAATCACTTTTATACCATTTCAAATCCCATTATAGGATGTGAGTGTAGGGTATGAGTTAGAATGTAGTGCATGTTGACGTCTCCACACCCACACTACACTCATACCTATACCTCACACTCATATACCAAATCAATACCCAATCATACATCATCGCTCAAACCAATGATCATATCCCACACTCTATACTCCATATCCATCTTGTCTTAGCAAAGATTCTGACTTTTTATGTACAATAATATCTGCTTTTCAGTTGTTGATGGGCAGCCATTCTTTGTTGATCAAAGAAAAAGCTTGTCAGCGAGTCATAGTGAATGACATTTTCAACAGTTTATTTGAATCGATTCCTATTTACTTCTCTCGCATCATTCTTTGCTGTCAATGATTGATTGAGTGAGTGATTAAAAAGTAAGTGTTGTCATCTCGCATTGCAAGAGGAAAATATTGAATTCTGATTCTGTTTAATGAAACTTTATAGAATAAAAAAAAACCTTGTTGTGCATAAAATAAGAAAGCTAAACATTTTTCATATTGTTACATTAGTTTGGCTTCAGTTTATACAAAGTTTTGATTAATCTGAAATACTTTAAGGGTTAATTATATTATTAACATCTCAATTATTATATGTTAAACGAAGGAATTATTATGAATAATAAGATTGAGGTTTTTTTTTACAAAGATATAAAATCATTTGTCTTTAAAATATCTTGTACTTGTCAGTATCGTGGCAAAAAATTTTACTCACTATTAAATTAATTTCATTTATCTAATGTACAAATATGTGACAGCAAATAAAAAGTAAATCCATACTCACATATTGTTGTTGTTTGTAGAAATATTATTAAAAAGTAACATGTTTAAAATAGCCATCTTCTACTTATTTAATGTTAGATTTCAATAATGTTTGAAAATATTATCACAACTCTAGGCCACGAACAGTACTAAGATTGAAAGATTTAGAATAAAAAAGAAGTTTATGGTAAAAAAAAATAAATTAGAGGGTGTGAGTGTGGATGTGGGTTAGAAAAAGGACTACACTCACACTCACACCCACACCCTGTCTATTAATATTCTTATTCAAATTACAAAAGAAGTTCAAAATCTAAAAGGCAAAAAAAAAGATTCGAGTCATTTAATGAGAAGACATTTGACACACTCTTAATTTCTGTTGATACGAAAAAACATTTCTTATTCAATTTTATTTTATAGAAATTTATTAAACCATGAAAAATTATTATGAAACATTTCTTTTTCTTTTTCTTTATTTCATTTTTACAAAATAACAAAAGAATCAAGTCGAATTTTAAATTACGAACTATAGGAGATTTTTAAGCAATTTGTACGAACATTTGGGAGGAAAGTCGAATCTTTAAGATGGAGAAGATTCACTGCTGTGTTCATTAGCTTTATCTAACTTAATCAAATAACTTACTGCTTAAAAAAAAGAGAAAAAAACTTATGATTTAAATTGAAACAATAAAATGTGTTGGTAAACAATAGTTTACAACGGCAGTAATTTCTGTAATCTGGAGAGGACATGCGTCGATCATACTGAATACTCCGGATTCCCCGCAAAATTCTTTCTCTTGTGAAAATAAGTCTTTTTTTAAGACTTTGAATCTCAATCAAAACCACCATTATATCTATCACTGGGAGAAACAAGGTTGTTTTCGTTCTATCTGTTTGCGAAAAAGGTTGCCGCTATCTTTTATAAATGACATAACATAAATAAAGTTACAAGCCATTCTCCCTCACCTAGCAGGTATGGGGGATAAGTTGGTGGTCCATTTATTATCTACTATAGAGAGACAAAGAGTGCATGACGATAAGAATGTTATAAAAGGGTAAACTTTACATGCGTTCGCTCATTTGATCACAGGTCACCGAACAATATACGGAGGGTATGTAAGACAGCAGAAATAGGTAAAGCAAGACCATGCACTCATTACTGAAAAAATCGATGACGAATAATTTGATATCTTAGCCTCCCTCATATGCCGATGTTCTGATAATATTTTGTGAAATATGATTGTTAATGAGTGTTGAAGTAATGAATGGTTCAGATTAAATTGCCGTTTCTTTTTTCGACCTCGATTCGATCAAAATGTTTCGTTTTGACGTTAGAAGATAGAGGACTTTGTGTAGATTTTATTGATATATTCTTTTTCAAAAACCATATACTGAACATCTGTATCAATAAAGGTATTGAATGCCACAAAAAATAGCACTACTTACAGGTTTACCGCAATAAAGATGCCATTTTTTTTCTTACAAAGAACTCTTTTACGCTATTCAAACTTAGTATGGACAAATACAGAAATACACTTCTTTTTTAAACACAAAACTAAATTTTCAAACAAAGTTTTATTATTTTAAGAACCGCTCGGAATTGCGCCTAATAACAAATTTTCAGCGTCTTTTCATGTCAAAAAAAACATCTCAAGTCCGTCATTCGGTTAGAAAAATAAGTTAGCCATTATTAATGTGAACATTTTATAGAGCTCTAATTTCTGTATCCATTAATACAAAAAGAATAGTTTTTGCAAGCCGATATTTGGAAAAAATTGCCAAAGAAATGTGTGATTCCGGAAGTCGAGAACATCCTCTCGATTTTCTTTTGTATTTTTCGAAGAAGAGACAATTCGTCTCTCACAAGCAATGTGTCACTAAATACACCGAAAAATTGTATATCTGTTACTACTAGGAAGAAATTTTCAAAGTAAGTCTAACTGAATAACAATTGATTTTTAAAAGCGTCCAATTTTCCGGTTGAGCAGTGATTTTTTTGCGAGGTATCCAGTACTTTTAATGACACAAATGTTCGGTGTATGGTTTTTTTTTTGAAAAAGAATATATCAATAAAATCTACGCAAAATTCTGTATCTTCTAACATCAAAACGAGACATTTTGATCGAACCCAAAGTCGAAAAAACGGCTTATTAAAAACTGACAATTTACTCTGGATCAGCCGTTCTTAGGTGAGAAAAGTAAACCACCTCCTTTCATTCCATAGATCGTAATAGACGTGGCGAGGTTTTCTATGACGATTAAAATACTTCCATCGTGTTTCACATTTTAATCTCTTAAGGATTGTGCAGAAAGCCTTTTCTTCCTACTAACTTTCGCATCTTTATTTCGGTTGTTAAGAGCACACATTCACATCGCGTATGTACATGAAAGTTGCGCAGGTACATTCGACAACGTCAGAATTCAACTTCCATTTTAGATTTTCTGCGTGGAACATTCTCTACGATGTCTACTTTGGTTGACGACACAACACCTTTGCTTTCAAGTAATTCGCAATCGGATGTCTGCATACCAATAACTATCGTGACCATGAAGTCGTCTCCAATTCCCGTCACCAGTTCCACCGATTCTCCTGCTCCAAGTCAAAGGCTGACTTCTCTTGACCAATATCGAGGCTTTGCCGTCCTGTGCTCAATTTTTGGGCCACTATTAGGAACACTGAACGTTACGCCTACCATACTCAAACACAACGGCAACTTTTTTAGCATTGCTGGTTCGTGCGTGTGAAGCTGAAGCGGAATCATTCTTGCTAGGCGACTAGGTTGACTTTCCTCTACCCATAGTAGACTATCCAGAGGTCTGGGAAGAGGAAGCTTGTCAACGCAACTACTATGAGGTCTCAAATGTGAAACTTTTGGAATAGGACGTACTTTTGTAACAAAAAAGGCAACTTGAGAATCCTTTTGTCTGTAGCGGTCATAAAATAGCACTTGTCGAGCACTTCTGACGTATAAAAGCTTTTCACATTTGTGACAGAGGATTGGAAAGCATTCCTCTTCCCGACACAAGGGTGTGGGTGTGGGTGTGTTTGAAAATCAAAAACAAAGACACACACCCATACTCACATCTACACTCTACACCCATGCCTAAATTTTCTGATGAGCCGTTTTTGTGGAATCCCTGGAGGAAGAAATGTTATTCAAAACATTTTCTGGACGTTTTTGACTGCAATGACTAACGAAATATGCTTTATAATAAGCAAAAAATGAAAAATTTCTATATCTTTCAGATGGAAAGGAGGAAAGGGGCCACAACTTTTTTATATAGCTCAATATACCATCTTCATTATCATCCTCATCACTCTGCCCAACACATTTTTTTACCAATTGATTTTTTAAACCTGAACATGCTCATTCATAAATAATGTGTCTGTTTGTATTTCTTAATATTTAGATATCATACAACCTCTATTCTACTTCGCGATCGGCTTCGCCATGCAGATGTCACTATTGCGTTTACGAACCAGGAAAGGAATTCGCGGGGTGCTAGTTAAGCAATTGCGACGAAGTCGGACACTGTACTTAATTGGCCTCGTGGTATACGGTATCGACAATCAAATTAGTTGGGCCAATTTGAGCAACAATTGGTTTAAACTGCCACTTCAATTCATCTGGACCGGAAGACTATTTCAGACCCTGGTCATTATCTCGATTGCTCAATTGATCATCCTTCCGGTCATAACTCGTCCCATCTGGGTTCGAGTGTGCTACATGATCGGTTCAATGACTTTCTATATGTTGGGTGAATGGGCATTTTATTTGAAGTTTCAGTGGCGATACATAGCATGTAGTTTTGCAGCATTATCTTGGGCGTTTGTGATTATCGCTGGAACTTTTCTAAATGATTGGAACGAGGTCAGTGAACATTATTTTTTATTTTGTAAGTTGGCGGGCGTTCACATTGTCCAACGACTGCAATTGTTCATATATTGCCATCTGGAGATTGGGGAATATTTTCGGGATAAATTCATGGAAAATATTTTTTGATAAAATGTGGCTATTCGAAGTTGAAGTAACGATCGGCTACGGATGCGCTCAGCTCTTTCTTGTAGAAGTGCTGTTTCTGGACTATCAGCAAATTATTTATTTACACAATTTTAAAAAGTGAAATGAGCACATTCTCGTTGTATTTTTCTATCAAGTTCATCTAGACGTTTGAGTTCAGCATTCTGAGTAAAAGAATATCAGATTTGTAGAGCCTTTATATCGAACGACCGAAGAATAATCAAATTTTTTGCTCCCTTCACTCGACTAAGTGGCAAGTATGTTGATGCCACTTGCTGTGTTACTGGCGAAAATTGAAGATCGACTACGACTTTGCACATTGTAAGTCCTTGCGCCTTGTAAGATAGTTATTGCGAAGAGAGGCATGATCGACAATTGCTTTCTCGGGACCTAAATCAGTTATGACACTTTTCTTCCTCCTTGTTTTTACTCGAGCAGTCGACCAGAGAGCTGCTTGATGAGGAATAGCAAATTCTTTTTTGACAAGTGAGATGAGCTTTAGTTTGGGACGATGGCCATCGAGACTTGTTTTCACTTGTGATGTGTTGCTTTCCATGAGGGCGCACAAGGACTTGCGCACCTAGATCGTACTTAGGAGAACTATTTCGTGCGTCAGCTTGAAAACAGTTGCGTTCTCTTGATTGTCATACACAAGTTTGTGAAAAATTTCTTGAGTACCATTCGAGAGTCCTAGTTCATAGGCAATGTTATTAGTGAGAAGAACAAGCATATTTGGTACGAAAGGAAGAAGATTGAGAAGGCGTTCGAGTGTCGGTGTGAATGTGAGTATTCATGTCATCTGCATTCACACCTTCACACATACCCACACCATAATCAATGCT